GTTTACCCACCATTTAGTAGAACACGAGTTTAGTTTTATTTTATTTTGCAAAACTCAGAGATTAATAAAGTAAAAGGTGAAAAACGCAATTTGTTGTTGTGACAATTTCAGCGTTTCATTTCAGGCGAACATTTTATTTTTTATACTACTATTATTTCTTACAGATGTTAAAGTTTTTATTATAATAGGTATTAGGTATTGTTAATGGGCAGGCGAGAGCGATTTTTTATCAGCGGTAATTATTGTTGCACTTTATTTTTTCAGTTTAATTTCAGAATGCTGGCTAAAGCGTTAAACATGTTGATTGCAAGCAATCGCTTATTTTATCGTTCATCTTTTCGTAATTCCAATAAAGTAATCAATAGTGTTAATAATAATAGTAACAAACTTTTCAATAGCAAATAATACTTATTTATTTAATTTGTTGAGCTTGGGAAATTCGTTTTTATTTGATGTTTTTCTTTTGCGACATTTATTCTTGTTGCAATGAAAGTAATGAGTAAGTAAACAACTTTTATAACTGCTTAGAAAATGTATTTTCCTCTCAGACCGCGTTAATGCGTTTTTAAATGCAATCATTATTATTTTACATACTCTTGGGTGTGTTTTTTTATTATTTTAATTGGAAATGTACAAACGTATTGTTATTTTAAGAAAACCATTTATTTTCCAACACGATACATTCCGCGGTACATTCAATTTATACTAAGCTGCCGGTCAACATCCTGTTCCAATTAGTGCTTTTTGATATAAAGAGACGCGTCATTTTTCACACTTTATTTAATCCACGTCCAGGTGCAGATCGCTAAGGTTTTCTTTATTGTTATGGCTGATTTTTTATTAATATGGAAATTGGAAATTGCTGAGTTCTACCAAAGTACTTTGAACATACACTAACCAGATAGAACATATTATTTAGTACCTATTCGTTTTAGTTTTGATAATATTTAATTAAAATGTTTGAGTGTCCAAATACGTTGAACTTTAGATTAAAAGGTGGTCTGAATTTTTAATTAATTATTTTTTATTTAGGTGCTAGTAAAAATCATCATTTATTTTTTTGTTTATGGAGAAATATTAGATAAGTTACATTTTACAGATTTTGCGGCTCGACTTGTTCAATTTGGTTTAATCAAAATGCTTGCATTAACAAACCTGGATGGACTAAAAATTATAAATCAAATAATTGCTGACTTTTATTGGATGATTTTGGTCGTGTAGAAAAAAAAAGTTTTTACCACGATCAATTTTCATTTGATATTAATGTAAAAATCAGTTTTAATATATTTCGGCACGCGAATGGTAGTTTAGAATTGTATTTTTGGCGCGTACCAAGTCATCATTGTAGTTGTTTGCATACAAATTCCACATCTACATGTCTAAGGTATACTATTTCGCAGTCATATCTTGTCATTAATATTGCTACATATTCGATAAGGTACCAATGTTTATGGGGTCGTGCGTATGGGTACACAGAACAATACTCGTACATGCCCCCGGTTACTTATCAGTTAACTGTAATATATTGCAATGGAGATACTCATTTAATTTATTGACGGTCGTGTACTTTGCCAATGATAATATATACTCATTCAATTGTGTCTGTTAGTGTTTAACATAAGAAAAAAATGTAAGAAGTATATATTATAATGTTTATTAATGCCCCGGAAAATATCAACTGTGTGGGTTGAAAAAGAAAGGATGTCTCAGTGCAAATGTTTAGAATACTAATTGTAAGATTTGAGTGCAATTATCATCACAGTCGGGTCGAGAATATAAACTTAAGTATATTGGTTTTAGTTTCATTATAGTTCAAACATTCTAATTGTAATACATTCTACTTTAAAGATAATATTCTTTAATATCGGTTTAAATAAAAAATATCCATACAACTGTGCTTTTAAACTAAATATTACCATTTTATAAGAAAGACTGTCTTCATATATTTTTAAATATGGAGGCGCAAAGCACATATTTATTTTTCCAAAATTCATGACCTAGTTTCTATTAATTAATGTAGGATATTGTTTGGTGAATTCTTTATAACGATTCCAAGAACAATTTCGGTTACTTTTTTAATTAGACCTTAGTCAGGAGTTCTTTTTTGAATAAATTAAGTAAGTTAATCTTTTGCTACCTTTACCTCCGTTTTTACCCTAAAAAAATACTTAGAAAAGGGTGTTCAAAATTTTAACGTGCGTAAATTATTGTTTCTATTTCAAATAACAACAAAAATGACATAAGTAAACGTCATAAATGGCACTATGTATTTAAAATTTGTTGTCTATAATATCATAAGAACATATCTAATTATATTATTTCTAGTGCTCGTTAGGAACAAACCAAGCGCATTATCTTAAAAATTAACCCAACGCCAATCAACTAGTAAAAAAAAAAAAAAAATACCGACGCCAACCTAGTATCCACCCCTAATAACACCTTCACATGATTTGGCGCCACTGTTGTAGTCTTTTTGTTCTTATCAACTCATATGTTCCCAATTCCCACAAACCTAGAGAATAAAGAACAGAGGTTATTTATGTGCGAAACAGTCCTTGGAGTGAAACAACAAAACTTTTGTCTAACAAACAAAAGCCGTTTCAAATAGCATTTACTTGGAATGCTCGAGTTGAAGAATATAAATCACCAGACGACAGTAAATACGCGAAATGAAGAATCCCGAAACCCCTTAAAACGGCGGGGAAAAAACAATTCTGTTATCAGTAGATCAGTAATATTTATGATGTACCCGATTAGGAGGCATCTTGAAAAATAGAATCTAATCTGAAGTACGCGCCACAAGAATTTCACAAGCCTCGTTGTAACGTACAGTTGAGAAAATCTCATCTGGCACGTGGTGAAAAGGTATCTTTTTGAATTTAAGAAATAGGCAGCGACAATACAATGTCTGATGGAATATTATTATCGGACGGATTCTCAAAGGTCTGCTCAAACTACAAACGATGTGTGTACGATGCGTACCAATTGGCGAGCAACAACAATAATTATTATTGCTAATGATGCTTTGCACGTTGTAAATAATCGTATTTACCATGCAGCATACGGGCGAAGTCGAGATAATAAAACCAACATTAACGGCCGCTGTCGGCCATGTGGCTTTAACGGTTGAGTGATGATCAACAGATTCAAGACGTCTTTCGCAAAAACCGCATCTTAGACAGGTATGACCGCCTTTCAACACTTTTCCAAACAGCATATTATATAAACGCCCAATCGTTCATCATAGATCAAGGTTTATTAAAAAAAAAAAAAAATGTTTTCTATAGTTTCATAAATTATATAATTATTTCTTCACCGGAAGTACGATTTTTGTCAATAACGTTAAATTATGTTTGTCACATTATCGCAATACTTATTTTAGTTCTACAAATGATAAAAGCTAATAAAATAGAATACTAGATTTTCTAATCTTGTTGTTTCTATTAACTGATGTATTATTTAATTACTTTGAAAAGTTTTTCTTGCACACCCTAAGTAGGTCCCTAACTTAATACATTTATTTTAGAATATTTTAGAATCAATGATACTACTAAAATCGCGCAGTCCATCTAAAATAGGTCAACGCTGTATTTATTATATTAGAAACAAACAAGATATTATTTAATATTAATTTTTGTAAAAGTTTTTTTTGAAAACAACTATAGGTTCATGAGTTTCACAGCAAGAGCAGCAGAAACGCCGCACTTAAGGTCAAGTAAATACCGGAAGTCAAAGGGATGTTTCCGGTAAACCTTCGTCTATAAAATTACATTTCAAACGACCTAAATACATATTAGGACCTCCCTAGTTGTTTGGCGTGCCTTATAATTAAGATAATAATTGTTTTGTAATTTATGAACTGCCGTGAATGTCGCGAAACAAACGTTGCGCGCACAGAATATACATCAAAGGGCAAGACATTTGTGTTAAAGCACTACATTTCTCTAAAACTAATTAAGATTAGTTTTTATGAACCTATTTTATGCCACGATATTATTTTATATATTTTTTTATAGTTTTATACTTAATCAGTTTTAGCTTCGACGATAGTTAAAAAATAAAATAAATACAGATACAACTAAAACCATAAGAAAAACAAGAGTCATCGGTTAATTTTGAAAAATAAAACTAATAAACAATAATAAAGTTTCGAATAATTTTTTTTTTTGGAATTTAACCGTAACTCCATATAACTTTACAAATATTCTTCAATTTCAATAGTAATGATTGTAAACGAATTATCTACCAATTGTTTGTAATTATATCAACAGGTAATTTTGGTTTTTTATTTGTTAGTTTCAATATGATTTTAAAAAATTGATCAAGTATGAAAAAAAAAACTTAAGTGGATGAAACCGAAAAACTATGAAATCTGTTTCTCCTCTGCCAAAAAAAAAATAAAAAATAGTGTTATTCTTTTTGGTGTATCATTCTGTATACGATATACCCATTTGTGTATATATTTTTTTTAACTATGTAAAGCCAAAGTCAAAACCGACTAATTATAATTATTAGTTTTATTTTTACCGAAGTTATACTAGATGGTTCCCGGTAAAAGTCCGTTATTTGACTTTGGGGGGCGAAAATTGATTTTACCATGTGTCTAAATTGTCTTATTGTTTTAACGCAGCTAAAGGTGTTATGATACCACTGTATTATTTAAACATTTCCAACTGTATGCGATTCAACGGCGCCTAATTTGCGCTTTGCCGAGGTGTGCGGATAACGTTAAACGTCAAAAATGATATCTGGATGATAAATTACTCGGAGCGGTTGCGGTGGTCGGTTAATTACTATTGATTTTCGGTCGAACAAATGCGAAAACCACTGGGTAATGTGTTTGTATTTTTTTAAAGTTTCATCGTACATTTTGTTTGCTGATAATATTATTACAGTGCGCTGAAAACGGTAACCCAGACCGGCCAGCTACTAGTATATATTATTTTGTTAACATTATTTTTTCGAGCATAATAATAATTCTGATATTATTCTTACATTACCTATTTTTTCGAATCAATCACAACGGTTCGGTATGCGAATGCGACGCGTTCGGACGGCCACAAACGTTGTTTTCATATTATTCTCTCTGGCGTCGCCGCCGGGCCGGACTCGCAGGAAAATGCGATTTTTCTTTTAACAAAAACTCACACGAGGGCGACCAGGGAACTACATCGGCACTATTTCAACTGCACGTGACGTACGACGAATCGACAATGGAAAAAAAAAAATCACACGGCTTAGGTACAACAGCTGTAATACACCTATATCGACGTTTAGCGAACGCTATGTGTGTTGCACACGAGGCAATTGATAGTACACTAATCGCGCGCGCGCAAAAATAAAAAAAAAAACATTAAAATATAAAAAAACACACTCATACACACAATCGTAGGCGGAGGAGATGATATTATTATTATGTAGCGTCAATTCCAAACGAGTTAACGATACATTTCCTGTGCGCACACAATGCTTTCATTCACGGTGTCGTTTATCGTACGGTCGCCGCCGTCTTTGTCGACCCGCTGCTGCCGGCGAGGGTCATCCGTACGGCCGTCGTCGACACCACGGCCCGATTCTATCCGCTGCCCATAAACTTTGATAATACTATCAATATTATGTTGTTGTTGTTATCGGTACAATAATTACATTATGGCGACGGGTCGGGGAGGATGAGGGACCGGCGGAAGAAGGAAGAAGGCCGATTCGGACCCGAAGGACTGCCGACAAATCGTACGCGACATCTTTTGTCGGTACTCGCGCAAGGGAGAGTCTAGCAATGAAAAAGGGGGGAGCTAGAAAAAAAATTCACTTCAAATACATGTCGGCAACGGAGACAGAATGCAGTTACTAGTTTATATAGTAAAAGTATCCAATGTATTATAATATAAAAAAAAAAAAATACTCTTTTAATGTACATAATTTAGAGAAATAAGGACAGAGGCATAAGTTCCCCTAGTTTCCCAACAAAATGTATTAAGGTCGACCATAACCACGTTCCAGATGTGTTCAAATTAGAAGTAAAGAAAGAAGTCCAGAGAATGATATCACAAACACTAACGTCACAAGGTAACCTTCAGAAAATAATTACTTCTTCGCAACTAAATCCATTTATATCAAGTGCGTTACCCGAAGTATCTATTTTAACATTAATAGCAAGTAAATATCAGATTTCGACATGTCTTGACCGAACATTATCAGTTAATAATATTTATTTTTATTTTTATTTATTGACGATAAAGATAATGATAAACATACCACGGTTACCACACACATACCAAAGATACTAAAAATACCATGGCTACCACACATACAAGGTTACCATATGCATTAAAATAAAATAACAAAACTAAAAATAGCTAAAGATACTTAATTTACAAATTATGGGTTTTACCAAAAATTTTTTCCTACAAAAGTTGTTAGTTTTGATAAGAACATTTCTTTGGTTAACAAAAAATACATGGTTTCCATTTAAAAAAAAACATGTTTTTGACCGTAAGTCAGCCATTTTGAATTTTGGGCCCTATTTTTTTAATTTTTATAACGTCCCCTTTTGTGCTCTAAAAGTCTCTAATAAGCAACTTTTTGATTGGATTAGTATTTTTAGAGAAAAATCGATTAGTATTTTAAAATGGGACACCCTGTATTATATAAATTTTTTTTTTACAATACAAAAAAGTAATTGGAAATGGTATTTTGAAAAACTAATCCAAAATGTTTAGCCCTTACGGCCAAGTGGTCGTCTACCGTACGCCGTGCTGACCGTATGTTATCGTAAAACGTATTTTTAAAAATATTACCTGAAGCACTTTCGATAAAATGAAAAACAAGTACTTGAAAACATTTTTTTTTTTCGATTATTTTTATTATTCTTTTTATATATATATATATATATATATATATATATATATATATATATTTACCGACCAGCGCCGGTAAGTTTTTAAAGTAGTCGAATTGTGCATATTTTATTTTTCAAATACAAGTCCAAAACGTTATTTTGTTTTGTAACATCAAAAGTTATTTGTACGAATAATTTGTTGTGTTTACAGCAGTTTGTTCAACAGAACTATATCATGTTTAAAAACGCTAATCCGCTTTTTTAGAACCGTGGAAAATAATTTTACTATAGAATTCTCTACTTGTATTTATACTGAAGTAATTCAGCTTTTTAGCATTAAGTAGTTTTTAGCACAAGGTAAATAATTTTATAAATGTACAAGTAAAAAAAATCTTGTATTAAATTATTGATTCATCAAGTTTTAATCCAAAACACATCAGAACTAAGTCGTAAAAGAGAATTCATTTTTTTTTGCATAATATTCAATTACCGAATCTTATTTGATATTTTCTTGCCTAAAAGTATTAAAAAAAACAGCTGAAGATGTTTTCATAGAAATATCTCGGTTTAAAAAAACTGTGTTCACACAACAGATTGTATCGGTATCATACATTTGTTTTGGCCACGCATAAGAATGAAATTTACTCAATGTCATTTTCAAGCAAAGCTGGGTGTATATACAGTCTAATAGATCAAATAGTACTGTCAAACAGTTTATATAATTCAATGTGAAAGGTGCTCAGGCTATGTATGGAATACAGATCAAAACGAATAAGGAAAAACTCTAAAATATTGAACCAGAAATATATGGTTCTTTTATATTATTTATCATATTTTCGTTTTTCTCGGTTTGTATAATCAAAGTTTGAAGACACCAAAAGAGATCACTCTAATTTGGCTCGACTTGTTTTGATCAGATTTACCAGGTAGAATTTTTGAAAAAGCCAGCGTGGTATTTTAAAAATAAAATAATATAATATTAAATTTTCTAAAATGTTCATTGCCTATTATGCCTGTTAATGAGTATTTTGGTGATTTATTATCATCAATTTATTGTTGAAAATCAACTTGTGTAATATATTTGATAAGTCTGATCACGTTGTTTAAAAACTAATATTCATATCATTTTTATCCTTTTTACTTGAAGGTGTTTCTATAACTATGTATTGCGGGTCGTGTATATAAATGATAGGCTAGTGTAACGCGGTAACGCCCAAAATGCATTATAATTAAAAGTGTTTAATACGTTAATTGTGAACCCTGTTTTTATTCCCCTCTCCCGTCCCTTGTCATTTATGATGTTCTCTTTTGGTGGAGCTTAAAATTATTAAAAGGCACCTAGATAATAATATTAACGATAAATGCTATATTATTTTCAAAATAATAAATAAGTATAATGACTATAAAGCATACACGTTCAAAAGTGATTTCACTCAAGAAAACAATTTTTGTTTTTTATAAAGCTTTTATTTTATTACAGTTTAGTTTTTTAAAGCTATTATATCTATTAAAAACCATAAAAATGATAAATATAAATACAAATAAACTTTTTAATCTTATATATATTTTTAAAAAAAAGTACTTTGTCTCAATACTTAAAAATAAAAAACTGGCGTGAATGGAATTCACGCAATTAAGTATTAATAAAAACAAAAGGTTGATTTCACCGAGTGGAATAATTTTCCTCTTGTTTCTTGACTTTCATAAAGTCTTAAGACTCCTGATTTGACATAAGCCATTTTGTTAAGTGGTTAGTATGTATAAGAGTTTTTTTCTTAGTAGAGATTAATGCAAAACAACTGAAAAAGTGTAAAGCTTTTTATTTGAAAAAGTGTGCATTCGAAATCGAGGGTCCTTCTTAAAACTTCTAAAGATTAATTACCTCCGGTTTTATCTAAAGATATGCAAACGGCTAAGACGGAATTTCCTCACGGTTAATTTGAATGGGCTTTGTTTGGGTCTCGACATGAATATGTTTCTGTGTTATAAAAATGAAAAAATGTTAGTTTGTAAGTGATACTCTAAAATTCCAACTTCTTGTATTAAATAAAAACATGAGGGGTAACACACAAGAATTATTTAACTCTCAGCTTTAGTAAATTCTGTACACTATGGTGTTTGAGAATCACTTATTATTTTTTCATTTCTTAATGCTAAGTTTTGCCTTAGAATTTTACATGATAAGTGGCCATCTATAATATTGTTTCTGTCTATGCAATTTATAATGATTGTACCAAATAATAGGTTTGCTAGTCTATCTGTTATATTGTTCGACGAGGCGTTATGTGTTTTGGCCGTAAAAGTCATGATAATTATCTTATCAGTATGGAATTTGATCAGCTACTATAATTAATAATAATAAATCATCAGCTGAATAATAAGGATCAGAATAAGGTACATATTCCACTAATAAAGGTTTAGCAGTAAATTATACATTGACTGTTTGTGGTTAAATTATGATGCAAATACAATATCATAACCAAGCAATTTATTCTTTATTTAGTCGTTATGGAATTTCACTATTAGTAGTTCTACAGTGTATAAGAACATAAACGCTTTTTTATGTGTATGATACCAAAAAAGTAAATAGAGAAATTATAGTCATTAAGCCGTTTGGCGTATAAAATATTCAACAGAAACTCGACGACAAAATTACTATAAAAATAATATATTATTCAAAAATTATAAAAGTCATAAAGGTGATTTTTTTTATTTTTTATAAATTATTCATACGCATAACGTCGGTATAATGACTTCAAATCATTATTTGTATATGCAAGAATAGACTTTTGAGTTAATATCACTGGCATGCATTTGTTTATTTGCAGATACTATTGAAAGTATATTTTTAAAAATGACAAGTAAAGAGGATATATTAATTTAACTATTATAACGAAAACTCCACAGGTTATAAGTTACAACCAAAGTATATTTTGATATCGAGTAGAAATTAGTATTCGAGTTCAAACTTTTATGGATCGAATGCCAGTTTGCTAATTAGACAATCAATGACAAACGAAGGATAGATTATTGCAGTGAACCGTTTATATGAGTGCAAGTCCTTTAGAAGTGTTATTGTTATAATAAGAAACGTATACGCAGGGATGTACTAAATATTTCAATTACACCGGGTGACAAACCGAAAAGGAAACACATAAAATGAAAACGTTATTTGTTCGTATTTTCATTTTATCCTGGGTCACGATGAACATTAAAGTGATTTATAAGATGGTTATTATACGAATGAAGATCCCGCTGTAGAAAAATAAAAAGGATATACCCCATATGTACGTGTGTACTCTATAGACATTAGTTTCAAGTGTTCGTGATTTGAAAACATTACACGATTTGAAAAGTATAAAGTTTAATTACGTTCTATTGTTTTAAACTAATTAATAGACGAGTTTTGATAATTAAAAAAAACTACTCGCTTTATTACTAGCCGCGTTAATGTCAAAATCAATA